ACCAATACATCAGGCATTTGTATCTTCACAGAAGTTATAATCACACTAACAGTATGCTACACAGCAGGCAAAATATTTTGTGAGGAAACTGGTCGATGGTTTCGTAAATAAACANCATCCTCGCCTCAGGTTTAATTATATTCCTGGACTCCCCGCATCTCAACCTTCAACCCGGAATATAATCAGGACTAGGAATGTCAGATTAGAGTTGGATTATGTTCATATTAGAATGAGAAACAGTTGCTCCCCCAAGTGATCTCATGCTCAGAATGTTGGATAATTCAATCCAACTTCCATTTCCCAGAGATTAATCTTTAAGTAATCCGGAATTTAAATATTCGAGGNNNTTCGAGGCCTCCCACAAGCATGCACTTTGCGTATTGCGTCATTTAACTCACTCTTAAGGTCTGTAGCATGCGAATGATTCACGGGAACAAATTCAATTCAATAAAAGGAGATAAAAATTTCCGATAACTAATGGACAGTAGACCGGCAAGCGATATAATTAAGGAATCGGATCCCTATGATATTTCTAAATTTGTACCCTTTACGTTGTATGATTCTGTTATTTACTGATTATATATTAATGATCACATAGACAGCAGTATTCATGTGTATAGATGCAGCGAAAAGTTCAGTAAATACATTGTGCAAACCAGTGTTTTTAGCTTTATTCAAATTTTACGTTTTGCTCAAGAAAATTCATTGATTCAAGCTGATCATCTAAGATAGTTGATACTTTATCTAACTACTAATGAGTAGTATATCGCGACCCGTGAAAGCTATCGGGTGATTAGAATCACCAACGTTAGTATTATTCGTTCATGACCATCGTTTAGTTTTCCGTGCTCAATTCGTACGCACTGGAAAACCCTCTCCGTGGCTATATCATGACCTGGTGTATGTTTATGAAGAAAATTTAGCCTCTTTTGGTGGGATCCGCCCGCCAAGTCGGGACCCAAAACGTTGTTGGTTAGAGCATGCTGATACATTGGCTTATATTATCCAGCGCGTGAATGCTGCTCGACCTATCTGCCAAAATCCGATAACCAACTGAAAAACACAAAACAAACGCATATCCCCCTCTCTTGAAACAATCAAGAGAAAAATTGGCTGTTCTCCGCTGTTTCGTATCATTTTTATTTCCCTTATCTGTATCTAGATTTTCCGTTTTCATATTTATTGCTGTTACGCTGTGATCAAGCCGATAATATGTACAGTTGCATCATGACCAGCTTAAGGTTTTTTAGTTGGCGTCACCCGCTAAACTTTTTATCTGTGGTTGTGAAGACCGGATAAGGAACTCAGTGTTAGCATAACCAACCACCTAATTACTGTACTTTGATCAAAACCATACAGTTCTATCGACGGGAACTAACATTCAAAACGATTGTGCGGTTGTAATTCCGGACCACCGCAGCTGTCATATGGCATAGAGCTGAGGAGCCTGTTTGGTTGCCGAACTGTGCACACACACGCCGACGATGGATATAAGATATCGAATGGAACCTGGTTTGAGAGACACACGGCATTGCCCGCAAATGTGTTCGACTCCTTTTTAATCTTAAATGTGGCTCAGTACGTCGACCTGTGCAGTCTTTTTCGTTTTTCGCCTCTCTTTCGCTTAGTTGTAATAACGTTTCTTTAACTGTATGAGCGTTATTTCATCTCCCGATCCAGCACGGTCCTGAGTTGCTCGTAAATTGTGATTTAACACCTACAGAGACTTGAAAATAAAAATCGGTATACCTGAAAAGTTATCATAT